CGTAATGCACGCTCTATTTATAATCTCATTTCCTTATTAAGTACTTACTTTAGGTTTTGTTTTTGGTTTGCCTACATGGGTCCATATGGAATTGATAAATGACAATTATACTGGGGTCGGTAACATGGAAGTTTCCAAGAAACTTTCTTCACTCACAAAGAGCCTTCTCTTGTAGGACTCATAGAAAATCATTTTGCGTAATTACATTTAATATATATTTTTTTCTTTCTAAAATCGCCATGTCAAAAGCATCCTCCCGATTTACAAGTGTTTAGAAGGAAAGTAAAATTATCATTATTGAAATACCCCCTATACATGCGGAAGCCGGTTATGTCCGTTTATAACATCACACTTGTTTAATATAAACCATACCAGTTGTTCGTCCATTTTAACTTTTATAATAAAGTTTTATTTCTTATATAAAACTTATATAACTTTAATTTCACAACTCTACTACACTACGACTAAACAGAAACTAAGATATTAAACCGGCGGCAACTGAGGTAAACCGTCGCCGGATATGTTTGTTTTCGAGTGGGTCATGACTTCACTAATGGTGTCGTAAACGACGAAGGAGAGCCAGAGAAACCAAAGAATAAGAAGGACTAGAGCAAACGTAGAGCAAACCACATGTATTACCACAAGAGCGGCTAGACCGCCGAACAGATGGCTCGTGTGTCCGACGAGCCTCGGGGCTAACCCGGGTCGTAGCCGCACGTCCATGGCTTCCCGGACTCGAAGGACCGCATAAAACAAAACGAAGACACTGAAACAGAGGAATGCTGTTTTATGTGTTTCCAAAACAGAGGAGTTTTGTTGGTTCATTAGCTGAAGTAATGCTAGAATTCCGGCGTTGACCATGACGACGACTTTGTGTACTGCGACGGAGTATGCGGTGAACTTCATCGCTTCGCCGTCGGAGTTTGGGAGTGTTTGGTTAACGGCGGAGATAGCTTCTTGCATCCTTTATAGATTCTCTGTTTTGTTTATTTTTTATGTATGATTTATGCAACGTTTTATAAGAGGAGTTTGAGACTTGATCCTTTGGCTTTATGAAATGATGACCGTCCGATATGAGTCGTGTGCAAAGATCTACGTGCCTTTTTGCATCTTTCCCCACTGTCATTGACTTTCTCTTACAGCCCATTAGCATTTTGCTTTAATCATGGTTAAGATTGATAACTATAGTTGGACAGTCTTTGCTCTTTGGGGCGAGTTGGGTCAATGGTACCGCCCAATCTCGCTACCGGTGCTCCGTATTCAACATTGTTTTTTAACTCGTTACTAATTCATAAAAACTAATGGTATGCTAAGTATTAAACATTGTTTTTTAACTCGTTGCTAATCTATAAGAACTCAGTTTTTTTCTAAT